AATATTATTGGCAAAAAAATGTCGATTTCTTTCGAAGAGTTGCGGTTAATATTACAGCACCAGCAGAAGATGTTGGCCTTGCAACAACAGCTATTTGTAACAGTTTTGGGCAGACTTTGCATTCAAGCAGAAAATAAGAAATCTATATATGATGCAGATAATGGTGCAGTAATGGACATTTCAGAAGCATATTTTGTGCAGGGTTCAAATCCCTCTATACCAGAAGGAAAACGTAATATTGGTAACGTGTCCAGCTCAGAGCAAGAAAATATTGTGCTAAATGCACATGAAGTTGTGACAATACCAGATGATCAGGAGCCAGATCCTGTAGATGAAGCCCAGAGTCCAGAATTAAATGAAACGCTACTGGTTCTGTCCAGCCCTGAAAATAAACTCCAGCTCGAACAAAATTGTGGTCCACGTGCTATTAGTCGAGAAAGCTATGGTGACTCGTATTCAGAAAATAACTGGAGCAACACGATGAACCAAATTGTACCAGATGTTACTCAAAATCACCGGAAGACAGAATTTTATATTGAGTCAACTTATCCCATTTCTAATGACAGTGTACCAGATATTGATTCTCAGAATAATGCATATGATTTTGATGAAACTTCTTATAACAATGAGGGAAATATGTCAGCTGTGTCAAATGATGGCCAAAAATCTAATTTAATTTTGTTAGACATTGACTTTCTTAATGACTCATTATCTGCTAACGAGATTCATAATGAATTTGAAAATAATGACCGCAAATCAAAAGTTGTTCATTATCGTCTAGTCATTTTTAGTGGATTCTCCAGTCAATACGAGAAACATGGTTTAAATAAAGTCCTATTAGTTATAATTTGGAGCCATAAGGACCCAACATTATTTCGAGGAGGAGGAGAATGTTGTGGAATTTAAAGTCACATATAATTCTTTTTTTTAAAATCAGAATCTAAAGTTGGAGTTTTCAAAAAAAAGGGGAGGTGTTATACCCGAGTGGAGATTAAACCACAGGTAAATTCCAAGGACTACTAATGGACTAATATTCTATAAATATTCTTATTGTATAACTACTCAACAATTACACTATGTATATTTATACTCCTTTTATGATAAGCTTTATTTTGACCTATAATTTATTATTATACGATTTACGGTTCTTAATCTGTGCTCAGTCTATTATTCACTGTCCCCCTCGTTCACAGCCACTTTTTGGGCTTATTTGTGTACAAATATTATTTCCTATTTTATGGTACGTTGCGGTCTGTCTGATTGATATATAAACCAAGTATGTCTGAAATAAACGATCTGGTCTGATCTGCTCTGATTCGGAAGCTGGTATCTTGTTCTGGACTCAAGTGGAAGGGCTCGTAGGACATAGGACCAATAAGGACGCTAGACTGCCCACACCGGTTGAACGTCATTGGTTGGCCTGGTGTGAAGATTCGTATAAGTCGTATTCGGATTGGTAGATAAGTCGCGTGATAAGAAAGTCAGACACCCAAGGTCATAATATTAATCATTACACATGGTGCTAGATCTATCATTCGAAAATGTCATATTTGTACTAATATTTTTGACAAAACCAGGAAGAATATAGCTCTTTCAATAGGTATATATATATATAAGCTTAGACAAGGGAATTTACTTGCTTTGAAAAAGAATGAGTGACTAATAAGTCAACTACTCGTTAGCATAGCAATATACCATGGTGAAATAACTGACAGGCTCCAAATCCAAAAATTGGATTTATCATTTTCATCGATCTTAAGTTATTGTTAATCAAGAGCTGTTTTTTTTCTATGCTTATTTTAGTTATTTGATTCTTTCAAATAAATTCACTAAAATACTTCACAGTCAATTTAGTCATTTCTTAAGTCGATCAAAATCATGGGTTACGCCGAAAAAGCACTTTTCTATAATTTTTTTATGAGGCTTTTTTTTACTATATTTTAATAATCTAAACATCAGTAAATGATACTTAGTTTATCATTTTAAGATATCAATATGTATGCTCAAGTATAACATTTGATCAAATAATAAAGATGAAAGAGGATAAGCATATGACAAGTGATACTTGTCAATAATTAAGTTTTATAATGACAAGACTTGTTACAATAAAAATGTATTAAATAAATTCATAAAATAATGTTGTAGATTTCCAGTCGATTATTTGAAATCAACATTTTCTGGAATGAATGAATAACTTTATAATTTTACATCATGTGAATATAACAAAAACAATTTCAATAGATTAGACAATGTTTATATCGTAGTTTAATATTTGTAAATGAATTCAACATGAAGCATAATTGTTTAAGGTCAAATGTAGAAAAATGTTGAAATGTATTGTTTCGTATTTTTGTATTTCATTTGTTTTATGTTACTGTGTGATATTTTAATATTTTTAACAAACAAAATCAAATGCCAATTACTACTTGATGTGTTGCGCAATCATTTCACTTCGTAGTTTTAGATATAACATAAATAGAATATGAGATAAAATGACATTGCATTATTTTTATATATTATGAATTCTAATTATCTTCCTACAAAAGTAATCAAGTTTAAAAAAAATTGCATTGGTTTGACCAAAACATAATATGATAATACATGATCAAAACCGGAAACAGTCGTTATCAATGAGATAGGATTATTAAGAATGTTATGAAAAAGTTGAAAAAATATTATGACAAAAAATTACCTAACAATAAGAAATTAAACAAGACTAATTATTTTTAAAATGTTTGATAAGATTTATTTGACCTTTTAAAGAAATGAATAAGTATCCTATAATAAAGTTTTTTGAAGTAGATGTCAATGATAGGTAGGAAGTAGACAACGATTTGAAGTAGGGTAATCAAAAATTTGAATTACAATGGTATTGATAAATTACGCTTTTTTGAATCCAGAAGCTAGATTTAAGTATCATGACAGCAACTAACTGATTAGAACCCAAAAAACTCACATCACTCTACTCGATAACTATTTTAAAAGTCATAAATATGACAACTTAACTGCTTTCAACAAACAGGTAAGTTATTGCATCGTTAAAGGACTTCGAACCTTTGATTATGGACTTATATGAAAGAAGCTCAAGAATACGAAAATGTAACCTCTTCTTTGTTGCTCAAGTTCATGTGATCTGACTGGCATAAGGTATTTGATGTTGATGTTAATATGAAAATCGTCAGTATTTAACTGTTTTGGTGGTGCGTTCATCTAATAGCAAACGAAAAAGCAGAAGCCAAATAGGCAATCTTCGCCAAGTCATTTATTTCTCACTTAATTATTCTGTTGACGATATCACTTCTGAAGCAGAGATATTAAGAGGTAGCTGTATTCTCAATATAGTTTGTTTGTGTTTCCTTCCACTTACTTATGAATCTCCGTACCCACGTAATCTGCATAAACGTTCTTGGACGTGGGTTCCTACTCCACCTTCGCCTTAAAGCAGAGTTCGCAAACGGGATTAAAAGGTGTTTGCAAATATATTTCTGTTACTTATTAGATAAAATCTGTTATAATAAAACATACCATTCTACAGATGTTTGCAGTGAATATATCATTACAATGCATCATACATATACATACACACATATACAGTTCATTGAGTAATAAAACCCAAGAAATGAAACTTATAATTTCGATGTCGTGTTGTGGATTTGAGACAAATGATCCGTTTTTCGCAAAAATAGTTCATCGACAGAAAGTTTTATCTAATGATAATATGATTAGAGAATCCGGTTTTTTGAGAGCCACTGATAAAATTGCGAGAGAGTTGAGTTCCTAGATACTGAACTATACTAACATTTTGTTTTCAATTTGTTAAATACTCTAAGTAAAAGAAACAGAAACTAAGATAATAGTTCTAAGAGTTTATCGACTTTCAGAAATATCTTAATTAATCAATATTGGTTAAGGAAACAATATCATAGATGTTTGTTCGTTTATTTAATTGAATTTTTCAAAATGTTGATAACTGGAAGCTCCAATTTAATATGAAAAATGACGTAGATGATATATCCAACACACATTAAATTTAAATCATTTTCCGTTTGTCAACAAATATATATATATATATATATATATATTTCAAACGAAAGGGTTTTGGGAAATAAAATTGTTGAGGTTTTAATCGAGATCATGAACTAATAGATGTCAGACCACCATTGAAAACCTAGAGGCACTGGAAGGCTGCTTCGTCTGCGAGACCAAAGGTTTTAGGTTCAAGTCTTGAGTGTTATATCGTGGATACGCAATGCTGAAGAGTCCCATGCTAGGGCGAAATGATCGTCCGGTGCTTCTACATTTCCAATAGTGGTCTAACATTGATCGGTTCAAGATTCTAAAACTCATTAAACTGTCAATCGCACTTTTGACGAATAATCAACTTCTAGAGAACTTTGTACCATGTCTGTAAAATGGGTTTCATTCTGTAATTATTTCTGGAATATGATCTTTTTACTTACTTAAATCAAAAGATATTTATATTATGGTAGGGAAAAATAATTTGTAAATGGTTTTACCGTGAAGTATATATTATATCTGAGTACTTGATTATCATTATCCGATGTCGATTTATAATAATTAGTTTATATCCATATATCACAATTTGGTTCACTCATTTGACAATTTTACTTCTCAAAACCTTTTTGCATCAAACCATTAGTTTTGACTTTTTTTTATTCTTATTTCTTTTATATGATATTTGGCATCATAAAAAATAGGAAGAATGCTTAAGCTTCACATTATTGAGATATAAAGTATAGTGATCATGAAATTTTATTTCACCTTTACTTATTTTGTTTATCCGCTTACTTAAATTTTCTTCCATATCATCTACTTAAAGAAACTAATTTCAACTGTGAAATACCTTAGAAGAATGTGAAAATAATTAGGTCAAATAAAATAAAGTTCAGTTATGTTTTATTTTGCAATTTTTTTGAAAATGAACATTTTAATGTTATTACTGTCAGTATATATGCTTGATTTTTGAATAACTTTTCTAGGTTATGGAACAATCAGTCCAGTTACCATATACGGCAAAGCTTTTTGTATATTTCTGGTTGCTATTGGAATTCCAATGAATGTGATCCTGGTTTCCGTACTAGCTTCTTTGTGCATGCCCATTATTCGCAAGTCACGAAATGCCCTAGTTGATTTTTATTCTTATTCAAGCGATCATGGTACATATCATAACAAGCATAATAAAAATTGGAAACATTCAAATTTCAATTCTTTAAGCGGACATAGGAAAAGTATGGAAGATATTAAACCATACCTAAATAAGGAAAATAAACATAGAGTTTCAAAATTGTTTTTCAAGCTTAAATCTCTTTTCCGACGACAAGTTAATGCTCCAGACGGACGAAGTGAATCGAGTGTGCTTCATAGATCGTTATCCGACAGGTTAGTTTGCTGTTTTACTGACCAATTAAATTTTTATATATCAACTAATTTATTTAAAATATACATATATTCTCGCATATTAAATCACACGGTTTCCAACTGCTCTCTGAATAATATGAATTTTTGACTTGATCGATGAAAATTCATCTATACGCTTGAGTTCAGAAATGTTAATTAAATACGTGAATGCTTAAAACAAAATTCAAATACGAAATGAAACTTTCATGAAGAACTCCATAACTACTTAAATTTATACCAGTAAATAATGAAAACGATTTCCAAAATGTTTTGAAATAACAGTTCATTTTTATTCATTATTAAGAGCTGGTTAATAAAAATCAAGATTGTTTCAACGCATCCAAGATAGGTTGCGGCCCTAAATCTGACTCTAGATTGGATAGTATGTATGATTGCTACCGAAATACACATATCGCTAATCCTCGTATACAGTCATCGACCTAAATCGCGTTGGTGAATAACGGAATTTAGTAATTTAAATACGATAATGGATTTTTGAATACATATATTTTGTATAATCGTTGGTTGGATAGCGAAGCACAACAAAATGACACGTAATGGAGAAGGTGGGTAAGCCAACTCAATTTAGCCAAACGTGAATCGATATTTATATTCGAACAAAAATAAGTTACAGACATGTGATGAATAGAATAAGAAGTGCACACACATACGCTCATATAAAAACAGTCAAGGTTGATAAGCAAATAATTAACAAGGTCAAAATGTGACTCAAGACGAATGAATAAACTGATCTTTACGAAAGCTAAAATAAGCCGTGTGAGCTTAACATAGCAACCGACACCAAAAAGCACTACTAAGTACTATTCTTTAAAAAAATTACACTTGCTTTTATCAGTCAACCGTGGTTTTGTTTTTCTCCATTTCATATTGGTGCTTCGATTGTGAAAAGGATATACATTCTCCACTTGTCTAAGCGCAACTTAGACGAGATCTGTAGCATTTTGTACAAGTCTAAGACGAAAGAAAATGCACATATATATTGGACAGTACCTAAATAAGTAAGGAATATCCACAGCTATCAACAATACTACTTTAACTCAGATTATCCTCTTCTTTATATAGACATTGTTAGTGGATTTGTTTTCTATAAACAAAGCTTCATAATAATAGATTTAGTTGGTTGATATCATCTTAGAATTTAGATATACTCTCCACTTAATTGAGCCATTGATTCAGTTTAATTTGGTAGCCAATCATAAACTGTCTTTCTTTTCGGAACGAAATCGTACTAAAGAGATGTAATGAAATTTTACTTTACGTAACTATGATTTTTACGTTGTAACTAAAGATTAAGTTCTACTTTATTTCCTACACTACATAAATATTTTACCAATAAAACATAAAAACTTAGATATTATTCCTTTTTTGGAAATGTCATCATTCTAGCCATACAATGAGAAAGTAAAGATACACACTCAGTAAAATTTATTTAAACTAATCAAAGCAACGGCTACTTTGACAATCATGTCTTCATTAATATCGAATCGAAATTCCTTATATTTTTGCTAAATCATGTGTTATGCCTACTACCTCTCGTGGAGGAGCATAGATCACCCACCATCATCTTCATCCAACTCTGTTCTGGACATTCCTTTCCAGAGGTACCGTAATGTAACGTAATGAAATGTACAAGTCGTATGTGAGTAGAACAACTAGTAGGTCAGCTCATGAATCTATAAATCATATATACAGAGTAATCAGATAGAACTAGGTAATTAGAAGAATAAATAGTCCATTCCCTCAATGTGTCTCAAAATAGTTATGGATCGTAGTTTTGAAATTTATTCACAAATAATTGTATTTGTATTCATGTCGGTAAATAAACAAACCTATGTGTAGGTTCATTATACAATAGTTTCCTGTAAATTGTTCACTGATATTTGACGACTTTTCTGAATAACTACTCTCACTGTAATCATATCTATTGTTAGTATTTATTTATCTCACATTATTTCTTCAATCTTATATCTATTCATTTTGTTCTATCTGGTATTTGTAAGTGATTAATTTATCAATAATAATCCTGACTAATCCGTAAAATGTAAATATCATTGTTTTAACTGTTATATTTAATACAATGATTATTTTTTCGACTAAATTTGTTTCACAGCCAACAAGTAGTTACTAACGATTAAAATTATGATCCACATCCTTGAAAACCTCTCACACTGCACTTAATTAATTGCATACAGCTTTAGTTAAACGAAACATGATTTTTGTTGAATATATTTTTTATCATATTGTTATTCAATTCACATTTCAAAGAAATCCGTAAATTTAACGTCGTCACTTAGTTTATTTATTGAATTACCGAATCAAGGTATCTCATACGCTTTATACAACTCTATATACGCAATGTCAATCAATAGACATAGTATACCAGTTAACACTTTAAACCAGAATTAGTTAACGTCTGGAAATATCTTGTGATTGTCGATCATAAATGTCAACTGCCGATAGCAGACACTTGGTGAACGCATTATTTACCCTTCTATTTGCGTACAGAATGCCTTGTCTCAGAGTTTCGCTTTCTAGTTGACTTTCATCAGAAAATCAACCTGGATAGCTAAAACCATAAGTACTCGTTTTAAAATAAAGAAATTCATATAACTGAAAATACCACTTACTAATAATCAACCTCTGGAAACGTGTAAACGTATTTTTAATAAGCTATGCCTAGTGGTAAAATTGATAGTAACTAAGAAATGAAAAAACAATTGTAAGGTCTTCATAATAGTGGTGACATTAAGAATAATGCTAAATGAGTAAACTTAGTGAGATAACCACTGTCTTATCCAATACCTTATATAAAACGTCTTACTATCACACTGTCCTCGAGGGCACCGAGACTGTGTTTTGAGGATTCACTTGCTAGTGTATCGAGACGCATTGGAAGAACTTTAATAAGCACTGGATTTCTTATAAAGTCTATTCACAAACACTCAACGAATGAAATATTACAATTGATTATTGGTTTTAAAACTTATGTATTTGTACGTTAGGAAAACTGAGTTGATCTTATCTAAAATAATCTAATAGAGGCATATTTAAGGATACGGCAGTGAATGGCCTCAATTTACTCAGCAGAACTGCAGGAAAAGATATTGCGGATACGGGTAATAGAGTAGATACGGTACAATTTTTTGGGTAGTATATAGAGTGAATAACTGTGGGTTCCTAAGGTAAAGAAAAGCAGCAATTGTTCATTGTCTTAGTCATATATTGTTTTGAAAAGAGTCTTTGGTTCATCTGATACTATCGTGGTTATCTAATTTACATTTTTAATGCTTCCCAGAATAATATTTGACTTCTTATCAATTGGCCCACTCAAGTATTCGCGTTTTATCATAGCACCTTGTTTTCTCACTTCTTTTTGCTTGATATTCTTGTCACTTTCTTACAGTCGTTTATCGAATAACATCGTGAAAAAAAATCCTCCACCAACAGTATGCAATATCACTGAGCCAAAGAATGTCGTCGAAAATGACGGATTATCAAATAAAACTGCCTCAGTGACTTCCTTATCAACATCTTTATCAACAAACAAGACTCTATCTCAAAGTTCTCTGACAATAAAAACAGAAAATTATCCAAAAGATTTTAATAATGATGAAAACGATCATGAAATCTCAAAGCATGAGCAATCAAATAAACCAATATTATCTATTATGAAACATCATGAACTTCATATAAATAATGACATATCAATGAATCCCAGTTTAGCTTCGGTAAAAATTAACAGGCCGAAAACGGTACTTGGTCACACTAATGTACCGAAAAAATTAACACATAAAGTTTCTTTAAGTTTTGCAGCAAATAACCAACCAGATGCAGCTGACAACAGAATAAATCAGCTGGATACAACTCAATCATCTCCTAGTCAATTCAGTGGACACACTGAAAAAGAAACTTATGTAAAAAACGTTGATAAACCAGCTCGACATTCATTGAGTGAAATATTTAGAGAAGTAACACAAAATACATGTAATCTCAATGATTGCTTTTCTACAGAAACTTCACTAGCTGATCGTGCTCATATTTCTTGCATAGCATTTCTACATTACTTGGTGAGTAAATGTTTCTATATATGTCAAGATTTTGAGCTCAATATCGCTTTTTTAAATTTCTACTCAGTTATTTCTTCGGTAACATCATTTCACATACCATGTATAGTTTTACGAAAATTTAAAAAACAAAACATAGAACACTTGTACATCATACTGTGTAATTAGGAAAAAACACTAACTGAAAGCGATAAAAGCGTCAGCAAGTTTCGACTAACGGTAAACTGAAGTCATGTACAGAATACTGATACTTAAACAATCTGTGCCTACCAATACACTGTCTTTCCGTACATTTCGAAAAATTGTACGAGTATGGAGTAGCTATTTCGGAATAAATATTTGAATTAGAGTAGATAAGTAAATGATGGGAAAAGTTTTTGAATTCCTTAGAGTCCATAACATTAGGTAGTTAAGTTTTATTCTTGATATTGGAAATATAACGTACATATTAATTTATTCTGTTAATTTATTATTAAAAATAGGAATGTTACATTTGTTTAAGAAAAAGCTTCTCTGATTTTATCTCTCAATATTAATTTATTTTTCAACTAAATTATGCGACAAAAATAAAATGCTACGGCTACTTGTTACCACACACCAGATCAAAGAATCGCATAGTTGTAATATTTGCGACACTTGATATCGCAGTAAAAGATAACATTTAATTGCAGTAATTAGTTTTTACTTCATTCAAAATCTATATGTCATTCAAAGAATTGACAGACAGTTCCCATTTAAAAATTAAAAACACAAAGTTCAGCGAAGGGATATCTTTTCAACGAATTTATTATCAAGCTATACGATCGTATATATATGAAAAATGCTTTTCGTAATGTACTAGTTCCGTGAGGAAATGCAAACAAGGAATAACGAAGATGATGTAATAGAAAGATTATAATACTAGATCATGTAATACGAATATTAACATTTGACCTAATAAGTTGGTAACGAATTATAACGTCAATGTACTAATATGATAAAAATGTTTTTGTTACAATAATTGTAGGTAATTAAAGGTGATAGAGGTGCGAAATAAACGAAGTGATATCATGAGCAATTATGAATAAAATAATGAGAATATAAAACACAATAAGTAAAGGGAGAAATGCTATAATAAAAATTAAGGCCATGGTAGCGATAAGATGTACTTCTTTTTTACGCATAGTTCTCGCTTGAGCTCATGAATGGTAAGGTCTTCGACTATTTTTAGTAGTTGGATACGAAGAAATCTAGATAGATTTAGACGAATCATACATACAACCTTAAAATCAAACTGTGGATTAGCAGAATGAATACAGTCGATTAGGTGTTCAGGTATGGAACCCCTACATGCTTTCCTCTCAGCCTTGTAGAATCACACTGGGACATGTTTCCGTATCCGAGTTGAAAGCGAACGCTGGCTACGGCCAATGTACCTTGCTCCACTAGAGCGGATGAACTGGTAGATGCATATCGAGGCGACCAGACGGAGAAGCCTGTCTTTTATGGATACAGAAAATAAGTTCGTACTTGTGAACGTTATTCGCAGTTTTGCCCCATAGAATGTTCCTTTTATCTCTGTCGTTAAACGATTTTTGATTGCATTAGATGTTCGATGACCTTTATGTTCCAAACCTACTTGAAGGTTTTTCTTTGGAATAGAACAACCGGCTTCCTCATCACAACTACTTCTTTCCATATTCTTATCTATGAAGAGGTCTGAATAGCCATTTTTTGTCAGCGTTTTTCTGAGAAATGCGAGTTCTTCGTCAATGCATTCTGTACTACACATACAATGTGTTTGGTAATATGAAGAGTGAATACGATTTCTCTTTCTGCTTTAAAGAACCAGGCTATAGAAGTTGGTCTGCTGGCAGTTCCATGTTTGTTTTCTATAAACGGATCTTCTTAGAGAACCATCACTGCTTCCCGCCAGACGCACATCGAGAAAAGAGATTGAATAACCTAGCTCATTTTCTAACGCGAAGTCTATGGAAGGCTGGCATGTGTTGAAGGAGTGTGACATATCTTCTAATTCATTATTATCGTCACAAATGACAAATGTGTCGTCCATATATTTTACGTATAGATGAAATCGATTAATCATTGAACTAAATTGGTCGTTCTCCAGTTTTGCCATAGAGTATTCTGCTAAAATTGGACCCAATGGAGACCTCGTTGCGATCCCATCTTTTTGTCTATATATTTCACTGTTGAAACTAAACTGTATATTAAGGGTATAACGTAACAATAGGTCTTTCGAATGACCAGTCGGCAGACATAGATTTATGTTGTTAGGATCAATTTAGTCACTTATATGGCATATCGTTTCGGTTAAATGTACACTAGTGAAAAAAATCTTAACGTCAAGCGAGAACATGTGCTTTCCGGAAGTATTAACGTCTCTAGCAAGATTAGTAAATTGAAAATTATCATGAAAAGAATATTTAGATAATTGCCTTCTAAATGGCTTCACTTCTTCAGCCAACCGTTAGGCGACTCGGTGGTATAGTGAACTCGACATATCTAGAATAGTTCGTAACGGTAAACAGGCTTATGTACTTTCGGTAATCCATATAAGCTCAGGATGATTAAACCCACCGAATGTATGTGATCATATAAGTCTGGGGTTATTATCCCCTTATTCTTAAGGTTTTTAACAACATTCGTTAGCTATCTTTCAATTTGCGGTGCTTTGTCTACTTCTCATTTAGGCTTTGAAAATTTAGTATTATCGTCTAGGAGTAACCTCACTTTATCCAAATATTCTTGACGATCAAGTAGTAGTACACCGACTCCTTTGTCAGGTTTACTAAGGAGCAAATCCTTATTTCTTTTCAGGAGCATTAGCTTATACAAATGATTCATAGTTAATAAGTTATTCTTACTACATTGTATATTAATGTAGCCATGACCACAGTCTAGTAATGTGGACCTTAATTAGCCTTTATTATTATTATAGCATTTCTCCCTTTACTTATTGTGTTTTATATTCTCATTATTTTATTCATAATTGCTCATGATATCACTTCGTTTATTTCGCACCTCTATCACCTTTAATTACCTACAATTATTGTAACAAAAACATTTTTATCATATTAGTACATTGACGTTATAATTCGTTACCAACTTATTAGGTCAAATGTTAATATTCGTATTACATGATCTAGTATTATAATCTTTCTATTACATCATCTTCGTTATTCCTTGTTTGCATTTCCTCACGGAACTAGTACATTACGAAAAGCATTTTTCATATATATACGATCGTATAGCTTGATAATAAATTCGTTGAAAAGATATCCCTTCGCTGAACTTTGTGTTTTTAATATTCAAAGAATACATAATAAACATGCATTTTTTGTTCACTTGTAGACTTTATTACACTGGGATTATTTAACTGTTAAGTCCAAATAGAAAAAATTAGTTATTACTATTTTCGGCATTGATTCATTTTTTCAGTTACTTTGTTTTGTTTTGTTTACTACCTCAGTTATCTAGAAGTGATTTGGCTTTAACTACACAAGTTAAACTTTCACAATTTCGATATGTGAATGTACATCATGGTATATTTCGTTTACGATTATTACATTTCTTCATTGTATTTTGTGTAGTAATTACATGCTCAGTACTTATACCTGGGATTATATTTACATATTTAGAACAGAATTGGACATATTTTGATGCAATTTACTTTTGTATCATATCACTTAGTGCAGTTGGTTTTGGTGATATGGTTGCAAGTGAAAGTAAAGACAGCAGTGCATCATCATTAGTAACGATATTATATGTGAAGAATATTTACAGAGTAATGACTGCAAGTGAGTCCTATATATTTAATCATTCTTTGGATACTTGACTGATAAATCTTTTGGAAACAGATCACATAATATAAAGACCTTGTGTAAAGTGCTACTAAATTTCTCTATTGACCAGAAATGTGTATATTCAAGTTTCAGGAAATTCATATTTCTAATATGGCGACATAAAATAACGTGTCACATTTCATAGTCTTAGTAGTAAAAAAAATAAGTTAGTATATTGTTTACATTTATTAATGTACTTTCCAAGAACATTTTCAAATTAGACTGCTATAGAGCTGAATTCTCAAGTAAATTTAGTATTTTTTTATTCTCCTTAGCACCATATTAATTCGTTGTACCACCATATTTATACACAATATGTGATGTTAATATATTTCTCAAAAGTTAATTGGGGAGTCTCCATTGAAATGCAACTATTATTTTAAAGTTGTCTTTTGATTGCATTATATTCTTAATCTCAATACCAAACATATCAATTGAATAGTTTTGCTTCAGTGAAAACGTAAGCAGGTCGTAAATCTACCCCTCTAATGGCTCACTGTTGCCATATAAACGACAACCTCAAAAGTACTTCCAAGTTTAAAGAAATTTAAATTTCACTTATAACCTAAAATTAAGACAGCGGAAGAAACCTACTTCATTATCACGGAAAAAATAAGCTATTCAGCTAAGGAAATTTTATTCTCAACAATGTCAGCTGTCAAAGATGTACAATCGTATTTATAGGTCACTTTACACACAGCTTCTAATAGCAAAGAGAGGTGTTGCATTATTTACCGAAGCTAACAAAAATCATCGAATGTTTTTGAATACCGAGCAAACGTTCGCTTATAGTTTTTAAGGTGAAGAAACATACTTACACCTGTTACCCCTTTGTGGAGATATATAGGCCTCCCACCAGCATTGTCCATCGAACCGTAGAGAAGTAACATAAAAACAACTTACGAAGGGAAAACAGCTGTCCATTCTAAGAATCTAAAAAGGATACAGGATCAAACATCAAGGGGAAACCACAATCTTTAAAATTAGGATTGTCAGGAACATCATAAAGTTAAGAATTGCCCATTTCTGTCTTGTATACTAAAGCAAATTCAAGTCGGTGAACAAAGTTATGATCCGAACTCCTGTTAATCCAGTTTTTTTATTTTGAAAACGCTCTTATAAGACAATTCCAGTAGAGTTACGTGACCAAAGTTAACTATGTGTTCAATAATTCAATCATTAACTGGTTGATAACCACTCCAGATAGTACTAGGACACGCGGTCATAAAGTTCACGCTTTTGCAATCAATATAACCTTCTACCTAAGAACAAATAAAATGACAAATAAACACTATGTTCACTCAAAGTAGCAGTTTATCCTTAATACTACACCCCCCGACCAAACATCTATTGGAGTGACAAATTCAGAGCTCAGCAAAATAAAAATTATTTCATTGCATCTTGATGGCTGGTTTTCAGAATTTTTGCTGCTGGGCGCTGTTCGAATTCAATATTTATGACCAAAATCTATTTCAGTATCATAAGAGCTTTCCCAAATTGAAGTTTTGATTTCAAATTACGTTTGATGAACCTGTGGGGCCTACCAATATCCATAAATATTTGCTGAATTTAATCAATCAATTATTGATTTTCGCTTTCATAGCTTTGTAGATAAAGTGCGCAATTAACACATTCTAAAAATATGTATGTTCAACTGGACTTTAGGTAAAATATCTTTCTATCGGAAAGTTTCGATTTCTACATTTAGAGGTTTTATATTAATATATTACTAGCTATATTCAACATCTACCTATTGTATATTTCTATGTGCAGATATCCAACCCAAAAAGTCACGAAAGTTTTGCATGTTGAAACTCGATTATAGATATTAATATACAATATGGTGAAGACTTGATTAATTTTTGAATCGTTTAAAAATCCGTAAATCAAGTAATCTTAACTTATTCGTTGAGTAGATTGCAACCTAGAGACACTGAGTTCCATCCTATTTAGAGTGATAGATGATTACTTTCGGGTCATTCCAAAACAGAACAAGCAGAAATTCGGTGCTTCTATATTTTTAATATCTTTCAGTGGATACTAATTCTTGATAAAAGTTATTCTAGAGTAATACGTTATTTAAAAAACTTTTCATTTCACTCATAATTTGATAGTCGGAATAAACACCCAATTCATCATAAACCAATGTATTATGTCTAGATAGTATTAACTAAATGATATGGAGTGCAATTATCATCCAATTCCTCTGGTAATGAATATTTCGGTCGGTGCAACATTTTTCCAATTTACTTAGGTTGAAAACATACATTACTGGATTTTAATACAGTAGTTAAGCGATATCCGCGAGACAGGGAGGTTTTGAGTTCGGTTTTTGGTAGGATCATGAGAGCGTACTTTGTTTGAACCCCACAATTAGACAAAAGATCTCTCGATTGCTTATGTTGATCCGTGACAATTGTTATTTACAAACTACAATATTTTATAAAAAAAACTTCATTTCTTTGGTTATATTTGTTTCTTAAGTTGCTGTTAGTTCAAGTCGAAAAGTACCATAAAATAAATCCTGTACTTGAAATCAGCAACTGATATAACAAAGTTCAATGAAAAAAACATAGCCTACTATATCAAATAATAACCTTTATTTTAATTACAAATAACATTTTTACTTACTCTTTTATTTCTAGTTTATTTAGTGTTGGGAACCACATTAATTGCCGTTCTAGTGAGAAGTTTCCAAGAGATTATTGACTATGAATTTTCAAATGTAACAGGAGGATACTTCGACGAAAAATTTAGTGAACATATGGCACACAATTCATGTTTAGAATTACTTTTTGACGATACTACACCTTCACAAAATTGTAGAAATCAATTAAATCATAGAGATATGGGTTGAGAAGGTATTCTGTATTCCGATTACAAATAATATACAGTTACCTTACATTTTCATGATGTATATGACACCATACTTCTTTCTAGGTAATTTAAACTAAACAACTGTTATTTTTTAATCCACACACTTTCTCATAATCCTCCGGCAGTATACCTATTAGATGGAATCCAATAAACCGATCAAATGATGTATATTATCACCTGTAATTTTACCACCCATATGACACTAAATATATCACATTATTGCTGCCGTCATCATTTTAACACTTGTTTTTATTTGCTACAAAAATGATAGACTCGGCATTTTCTTTATAAATTCGTCGTAATCACTAAGATGAAGTATTGTTCTGTGGCTTGATAATGCCCTTAACCTCTAACTATTTTTTAGTCAATCATTCATTTTGCATGTTGTTGGGCCATCTATTATAAATGTTCACAAAATTATTGAAAGGTTATCTACTAAAAAAGCTAATTTATCATAACGAAATTTGAAAGCTCAAATGTGAACATGAATTACAATAATTGCTTTATTCAATATTAAATGTTTAGTACGGTAAAGTATATTGGAGATAAAGTACTTCAAAATGTAAATTTTAATGTAAACTGACACTGCAGAAAATATGTACATAAGCAAGTAATAAATAATAAAATGTACAGTTAAAAATAACATACATTTATTTTCAAACACTAATTATTTGCTACACTTTTTCCTCACAGATGGAGGAATTTTAAAAATTTTCGTATTTTTGTCATGTCTTTGTATCTTGTTTTTCTAGTCATTAGACGATGAAAAGGTTGTAAGGCCAGCGTATATATTGTTTTTGATAAAAGATGCTTGTTTGTTGTCCGCGAAATTTCAAATGACTTTTCATAGCCACATTCATAATCATGCCGGCTAGTGCAATAAAATTACCAGTCAACCGCTTATGCAACATATAATTTGTCTGGAATGTTTAGCAACGTCTGGAGATAAGTAGAATAATGATAGGTCGTAACCAAAAAGGTAGTGAGAATCTTTTCACATCACCAACAAGTCATTTAATCGGTACAGCCACGAAACATCTGTTATGAACAATTTCCAATAAACACTACATATACATTCAGCAGTTTACAGTATTAAATATTTCTCGATCTACGCATATTTTGGTTTTGGGTGAAATCAAGCATTTAATACATTTTAAAGTTTTCTTTGGTTTAGATAGCAGTCAGTTATGACATTAGTGATCACCAACGTAGATGATCTATGTCGAATGATTGGGGGCCTGCTAGGGTTAGACGGGAATGGTGTGACGAACTAGCTAATGTCGAAGTCACACCTCACGATCAGCACCTTACGTGGATTGTCTCATAGGCGTATCAAGATATTATAGATGCTTTGATGACTGTACAGCACAAAGGACGTTATTACAGAACGATATTAGTTTAAGTAGATACAAGCGAAAGTAAGACCACCGCCGCATGGGCCAGACCATGGCGTACGATTAAGTGATGCGTGTTGGTTTTCCCTGATGAGGATCGATGATTTGCTCGATATTCAGTGACCCAACTGCCGGATAATTTGACTAGGGCTCAGTGACATTTCGCTGGCCCTACAGCACTTAGGAAACACATTTTCCCTATTTAAAACTTGGTAAACAAATGTACCAACGAAATTTCTCCCTAGCCTAGAGGTCATATAGCTGATGAACACAGCTCAAAAACTCTTCATTGACAAAGAATGTGCTACAAGAGACACAGGATAGCCAATTTAGGTTCCGGATTTGCCGAAACCATGATGACAGATTTTCAAACTGGGGTGAAGCTGAAATGATTGACTTGCTAAAGACCTAAGGGAAACATTTATCTACCATGCGAAAGTATTTTTCCGATACTATGCCCATGGTTAAGCTTGTTCTCCAGATATGTCTTTATGAGCACACTGCAACACAGGAAATTCCTAACCAGGAACTAATGTTGATAAAAGGGTAGACATTTTAAAATCAACTTAACTATGGTAAAGCGTGTGACTAACAAAAAGCTCTTTTAGAAAGTTAGTAAAAAAAGCAAAGACGAAGACCAAGTATAAATTGGTCACCTGGTTAGAAATCTAAACAAATAATTGCGTAAAGTAATCTCAGTTTGCCAAGTCTAATCCCTCAAATAAGCCAGTCATTTACCATAAACTAAAAGTGACTTCTGATAAGAAAGCATCATCTAGATTTTTTCATGACATAAGTCCCTAATACTCAAGCTACTCCAGGAAATACTAGGAGTTCAGAACAATAAACGTTACGAAAAACATCAGTTAGTTTCTGAACGTCTGTAGTTGGGTCGTCTATTAAAATGACTTTAATCTCAACTATCCGTTAACTGGGCTTGTTTTAGGCTTAGAGTCGCCAGTGAACTATTTTGATCACAGACTGTTTACAACCGTATTCTGCTTTTTTATGGTCCATCATTAGGTATATTCTATCCAATACTAGGAGCAACACTATTCAAATTCTCTTGACTCTATCCCTCGTTGACACAGACGATGTTGATAAACATAGGCACTTCCCACTAACAGAAGGTATTAACTACATCTCCATTATATGTAAGTTAAATTCCGCTACGGTTTAAAATGCAGAAATCAGAACGAATAGCAACCAAATATACTGTAGATAAACTCCACACTTTCTTCTGGATACTGAAAATTCGTTTGTAGAGAATCGGTTGAGGAAATATGGATTTACTAGCAGAAGTAACGTAACCTGGTAACTCAATTCCACATATCTTGACTCTGATGGATAAAGCTTCAGTGACTTGAGACGCTCCTCATAAGACTTGAATTCGAGTCCCAAATTGATTTCGTGGCTCGCACATAGATACGTCCCAATGTATCACTATCCTTCAGAGTGCGGACGGAAACACTATGTTTGTGTACTCTGGATGAAGTGGCATAAAACTGTTGAAGATTCGGTGGAAAGTTCCACCGTCAAACTGGGCGTAAATGCAAAGGTCGCTCGAAAAGCCTTTTTGTCGCAGTCAGCATAAGACTTCAGTTCATAGGTTACCAACACTACTAGATTTCATTCTGCTTGGAATGCTTGTAATGTTAGTCTGCAACGTGTCTCGCGTGGACTGTATTGCGCTTTGAAGTGTTGGAAGCAACTTCGTTGTTGTCTGTCCACCTTTGATGTCCAGTCAGTTCTCTTGAAGTGTCAGCTTATTATCTTGGTCCAGAGTTTCATCATCAGCGAAAAGCAATAAATCAGATGATAGTTGCTTGACAAGGTCAAAATAGTTCACTGTTCATTGTGATCAATCACTAAACGTTGAAATGTCTGCTGCGGCCTTGAAACAGAATTGCAATACAATGAATTTGACTGTTATCAGAATGGGTTTTGTGGAGATTTTTAGAAATTTCACAGGTTGAAATCGTGAGTCAATTGAAGCTAGACCATCATGGAAAACCTGGAAGCACTGGACAGCCGTTTCGTCCCAGTATGGGACTCCTCAGAAGTGCACATCCAATAGAGTTCAACGAAGTCTGTTGTGAGATAACAACTCACTGAAGACAATGGTGTACGGTAGCGCAACTTCGTGGATTGGTTGAAGTTAGACATTAACACCGTTGGTCTAATGGTTAGGTGCTCGCGCGCAAAGCCAGTAGGTCCTGGGTTAGAATCCCGCTGGGTGCGGGATCGTGGATGCACACTGCTGAGGAGTCCCATACTAGGACGAAACGGCCGTCCAGTGCTTCCAAGATTTCCATGGTGGTCTAGCTTCAAGTGACTCATGATTTCAACATATGGAGTTCGATTGTGTTCACCGAGTTCTAGCTACCTCTATTGATACCAAGACCGAAACACTATAAAAAGGTCACAAGACACAGGTTAGATTATTGTAGCGGTAAATGAATCCCCAAAATAAATAGCCCTATAAGTTTTAAACATTGGATGCTGATCATGTTTTTTAGTGGACTCATCTAGCTGAAGGCGCTCGATCAGGCATCCATACCAGATCACGAGTGGAACGCCGTGCTCAACATCTACTGCAATCACTAGCCAGATTAGATCAGAGAATTCCGATATATTGGTTGTCGCCAAAAACACTCTTCCGATCTCCTCGACTCTGTCTTTTGATTTCTCTTGGTGGGTACGAATTATATTAGGTGTTGCTGGTAAAAGCGTTGTCAAACACTAAATGCCTGTTCCATCTTCATTATTAATCGGATAATTCCGAAAGTGCGAGAAGCACAACTGCTCAATTGCTTCATATATTAAGTATCTTACCAAAAAAACAAAATGAGAACTTTGTCTTTTTTTACATTGTACTACTGTACATAGTTAGATGAAGACATTATACTTCCCCTGTGCAGCTGAATTTTAGTCCCGAAAATAAACGTTCTGTAAGTCTTCAACATTGGTGTCGACTTCACTATTTTTACTAGACTCATGCAACCTGAAGACGCTCGGTTAAGTAAGCACATCTGATCATCATTTAGTACACAGGGCTGCATGTTCGTCATAGCAACTAGTCATCTCGAACCACATATTTCACAACGAATCGACTATCTTCCACACGCTGAACTTTTTCATTCCAAACTTCTAGTGTGAATGGGTTTCAGATCGTCATTTACATTAGTTTTAAGGACATCATACATAATCTTTTAATTTATATTTTTGTCTATTTTAATATTTTGACATTTTTGGATAATTTTTGTTTGTTGGTATATTTTAAAATCATCATGGCGAGACAGACATCTAAGTTACTTAAGATTAAACCTATCTCGACTTCGCCATGTCAGCCAATATCATTCTAGTTTCACAATAAAGAAGCTTGGTTCTGCTACGTAGAATGTGAGTTCCATGAGTATGACATGAGAGATTCACATGTACAATTCTTTGCAGTATTGAAAGCACTATCACGCTATTTCAATAGGTACGCCACACCTAGTATGTTTACCAGTAGTGTTTCGGAAACTTATAACACTTCAAAAGGGGCTATTCTAAAATGCAGATACCTAACCGACCGGAAAAAATT